GAGTATTTTTAAATGTAATTGAAATACGTGAATATGAATAAATAGTATTTTTTATATTCTTTCATATGTTTTTGCCCAGTAAATTTGAGTGGGTCGCCATAAGCTGTGGTCATGAATAGTGGGTTGCGATTCTAAAAAGTTTGGGAATTCCTGCAATATTGCATTACCTTTACCCCTATCCGTCATATTGTATAACTGATCCGTATTTAACATATTTCTTAACTTCTCTAGATTTCTTCCACGTAGTCAACAATATAACAATGCATTATCTTCGCCGATGCCGTCCATTCTTGCCTTGTTTATAACACAATCCTATTCAAGTTGTCAACAATATAATAATGTCTTACCTTATACCATTGTCCTTTATTTTACATAACTTATATGTTCAAAACACATTTCTTACCTTCACCGTTAGACTCCATTCTAGACGCAGTGTTCACAGTATCACCAAATAAACAATACCGAGGCATTTTAAGGCCGACTACTCCCGCCACGCAAGGACCTTATGACAAACGTAAAATATAAAAACAAAATATTAAAAACAGGTTTTTAAATTTTTCATATTTTGTATTTAATTTCTGGTAGCTTGGAGGTAAAGAAAAACAGTATTATTACATTTGTCTTGAACTAATAACACAGGTAAGTGGCTGTTCTTTAGAGTATTACTGGGTTGAATTTTTACATTGTTGTAAGGTAAACTAAGCTGTTTAGGTAATGTTACAAATCTCTAAAATTATATATTATACTTAGTGTTCTAATAAGCTGTATAATCGCACAAATCACACATAATCAGAAATACATTTTGATTTATAAACATCTTAAGATAATTATGATACAATAAATACACCAAATCTCACAAAGGGTTAGTGTTGAATTAGCTTTAGAGATGACGTTGATTTTTTAGAATTGATATTATTACACAAGAATTACTTGAGAAATATGCAACATATTTTTATGCAGTAGTGATTATTTGGGATATTATATTATCAAATATCATACCCGAATGAATTCCGATTCGTAACTTCAACTTTCTCTCAGGCCGGTGTTGAATTTTAAAATTTCCTACTGCAACAAGCAAAGCAAGGGACAAACGAGCTATTTCTCTGGCATGCTCATTGCCATTTTTGATTGGCAAACCAGAAACCACCATGTAGGCATCACCAATAGTTTCCACCTTTGAAAACAACACCTCTGATAATTAATGCCTAACCTCAGTTCATGTGCTTTAGAAAAATATATTTTTTTCTATAAATTAAAATGCCAAAAGCTTGAACTAAAAGTGAGAAAATAAAATTATTACATAATCATAACGGTTATTGTACAATATCCACATTCCTTTTGGTCGTTAAATTTTTCAGTATTTTAGAAATAAATGTTTAGAGACGTAGGTCTTAAAAATAATAACGTGATTTTATAATAATAAAATAAATATTTACAAGATAATTAATGTTTTTCTTTACAAATTCATGTAATGATTAATTGAATATCAATATTTACTACTATATAGGTCATAAGCTTATAAACGGTTATATAGCATATTTATTAAAATAATGGTGTCATACAAGCAAAAAAATTACAATTACATAAACGGAATGACTGTCGACTAATATTACCTTATACACATCATAGTTATCGATGGTGGAGTCAAAGCAAGTGTAGAGGTCGTTTAAAAAGTCAACAACCTGGTCAAAAACAACGTAAAAATATATCAACATTTTCACTTGTAACTAAAGTTGTGTATTTCACATTTACATAGATGCTATTGAAAACTAGATCTACTAGCATATTTTGCTGTAAACGTATTAAAATGATTTTTAAAGTTACATTTTAAGGGGCAACTATTATGGGTCTTTGTTTCTCGTTACATCAAAACTCACCCACACATCTATGGTTCAGCAATCTGGTCAGATTTACACAATATTTACATGTCTTTGTATTAAACTATTTCACTATTTCTTTCCGAATCAAACATTAGAGGTAAACCTGGATAATTCTAGTAATTACATATATGTATATACGTTAAAGGTGTCTTTTATTTTTCACCAGAGGTGAAATTGGAAAAAAAAAATAAAATATGTGACGTAGAGGCCTATTAGATTCCTTGATTGGCCGTACCTATTGCTGTGGACTGCAGTTTCGCCTAATCAAGGCTCATCAGCACAGTTTAGGTCAGCAAACCAAAGAAGTATCATTAGGCCTCCAGGATTATCTTATTTTTGTGTTAACGTTAAAGCTGTTAAGATTTACCTTCAAAATGCTTTTCATATACCTTAATAATAATTATTTTTCAATGCCACAACGATTGCCATATTTCTGCTTATTTCAGAATTTCTCACAAAGCAACGCAAGGCCTAACTATGTATAGTGTCTCTAATTATGAAATAATAGACTAAAAAAAAAATAGTTAGTCAACACAGTGTATGATCAAATAGTGAGAATTAGTAATTACTCTTATAGCATAACCATAGCTTCGAAGTGTGTAGAATGTTTCTGCGACAATAGGTGATGAGTCACGAACCCTTGGATCCACAGAGAAGCATGATAACCATAAAGACACTCCCATAAACCCTTATTGTCATATACTTTTAAGTTTATCATATAACTTCAAATCGACTGTCACATACGATCAAAATCATATGATATACTTTGAATGGTTTGTCATTTAGGCTTATCAAGAGAGTTCCCATATAACTTTATAATATACTTTCAAAATTATTGTCATACACATTCAAAACAATATGCTCATATCTTACTATATTGGATGAAAACACTGTATATAAATCACATTCGTGTAACTACAATAGGTAATTTTTAATAAGATATCATTTAAAATATAGTTTTTAGTATAATTGTCATCAAAACACAAATTTTACCCTGTTCGATTGCAGTACAGATTACAACTCATTTTGTCATAATCCTAATTGAAGTTGGTTTATTATACTTATAAATAAAAAAGTGACTAATTTCATAGTTTAACACAGAGTTCTTAACTTCTACCTCTCGGCTTTAGCGTTTATCAAGATGATGTTTTATAACGAACTTTAAAGGTCAAACTAAAACCACCCGATTAAGTCGAAAGATCTTTGTTAATAAATGTTTTCAATTCTTAAATCAGTCGCTCTTTTACTTACAAAATCAAAACGTTTTTTAAACGATGTTGAAAGCGAACATTAAGCACAATGTATAATATTTTGATATCAAAAATTAAAAACGAACAGTATCAAGACCAGTAAAGTACCTCCATTGGCGTGCTTTCTGCCGATAGAGCTGTAAAACCAACAATGTCACTGAAGAAAATAGTCACACATTCAAAAGCTTCAGGTCTCACGTGATTACCCTTCTTCAGCTCTTCTGCAACAAATCTGAAAAATTAAAGCAGAATACGTATTGCTATTACAGTCAATAAAAATGTCCAAATGCTTAATATTTATCATTAATAATATATTTTATTGTACTTAATACAATTTTCTAAGTCCACATGGTGTATTCGTAAAGTATTAGCTAACGAAAGTATATTTCAGTACATTTAATAAGCATTTTTATGTGCTTAAGGTTTATCATTAAAGTGGTAGTTAACAATAGTACATATTTTTTTTAAATATGATGATGACTTAACCACAATTTGTCATCCCATTACTGATCATAAAAATACTGCAATCTGCTCGCTTTTTATTACGATCCAAAGAATAAAGGTTTTTCTGCTGAAAAGGTTTTACATTTACAAGAAGCTTTTTTATGCAGAAAGTTCACACAAAGCTATAGAAAATACTAGCTGCATTTAGCCTTCTTTAATTTTATACTGATAGACTAAGACAGGTTGTCAATTACAAACCCACCACCAACTTTTGAAATATTCTTGTCTGTTTAAATAATGGGATTTTAACGTCACTCGACACCGCACCCACGACCTCAAAGTATATAACGTAGCAGACAAACAAGTTCATACCGAACTAATGATCACACACATATTTATGAGTCATGGCCAGTGGCGTAGCAAGAGGGGGCAGTCGCCCCTGGGCGCAGGTGTGAAGGGGCGCAAAATTTCCTCTGGCCTATAATGCCTATTGATTAATAATTATGCCCTCCCCTAGGATATAACGCAACTGCCCTATGTTAAGTAAATACGACACAGTGTTACGTTATTTGTGTGTATTACGCTTGCAGTTTTAACTTTTAAAAGCTGCCTACTAAAATACAGTGAAACTGAATTGACGTGCAGAAGTAAATTACACTATTCCATCATTCATCTGTAGATCAAATACAAGTCCTAGAGTACAACGTACAAGTAAGTGTATGTTCAACAAAAAGAAACTACAAGATTGATGTAACATATTAACTGGTGTGCAAGATTGGCAATATATGCAACAGGCAAGGCCTAGATCTAGATCTAGTAAACATTATAGGCCTAATGCAGTGGCTTGTAATTGTATTGGTTGATTGTAAATCATGTCTTACACCAACTAATGTGCTAGACTTTAGGTTTAATTACAGTTATAACTTTATTTCTAGACCCTAGGTCCATCATCATACAAATTGTAGCCTATATTATAGGCACACTTAGACCTATACTAACAATTAAACTAGGCATTGCACTGGGACAGATCTAATGACTAAGTTAATAGATCTATATGTAACATTTGTTTTAAAAGTTAGGCCTAATAAATCTAAATCTAGATTTTATGAGGCAGGGTTATATCTAGATCTGGGTAGATTCAATACAAGGTGCTGTTACGTCTCCGTTTGTTTGTTAACTTTCCGTAACTTCGTTCCG